GAAGAAGAAATTCCCGAACTTCGGTATAAGGTACCACCACAGGTTTGTTATTTTGAATGAGATGAGTTGGTAGAGCTTTTAGAAGGAGTAGAAGTAGAATTTCCCTACATTTGTTGAAAAAAATAGTAGCATGGGGTGTCATTCTCAGGTAACATTTTTCGAGATTTTTCTTTTCGTTTTTAGTGAGATATCACTCGGAAAGGCAATACTGTAAGAATCTGAAAAAATAAATTTGGAATCTGTTGGCAAGCGTTTCAAAAATTTTGACTCAGGGCTTTGGTATAAGACTTATCACTGCTTCTGACAGAAAAATATGTCTGTTTTGAATCAATATTGTTCAATTAACAACCTACAGTTTGCCTACAGTAGCGTACAGTACACCTACAGTAATGCTAAATAAAATGCCTTTATTACTAAGTGATTAATGGGTGACTTATTTGTTCGAAGTCTTGAAAGTCTTACGGCCCTACTCCATGACTCAGGAAGAATATTTAAAGGACGCACGTAAAGCAATGTAGTAGTGCTGATTATTATAACAAGTACTTCCTAATCTGATTTCCATAAGAAATCAAAAACATTTTTTTACGAGCTATTCTGTATTAGTGCTTAGTTTTGTGTTGTCCGTTGGTCGTCAATTTTGGGACAGTCCAATGTCTTTTATTCTCGTGTCTCCCTGTTTGCTAACGGGTTTTGTGGAATGCAAGAAGTTTGTGCGTCTCCTTTGAGTTACTGGTCCATCATCTGTCCGTTGTTCAAGTTTGCTTCTGAATGTATTTGGTTTCAATGGATGTGAGTTGTTTATAGTCTGAGGATGCGGATCATATTGAAGTGGAAGAAATTCACGAAATGGAAGAACCGTCGCATGAGCCAGAGGAGCCACATGAGGAGCCAAATTCGGAACCTCAAGAGCCAACACTGGTTAATGTTGAACCAATTACGGAACCAGAGGAAGCACCTGCGGTTGGCGCAGAGCCAACAGAACCTCAAGATGACTCAGCGGATATTATGGATCAAGTGTTTGGAGGGCTACCCAGTATGGCTGCTGCTGCCCCCGTGAACGTAGTTGTTGAGCCACCAACTCCGTTGGCACTGGAAAAAACCGAAGAGCTTCCACATCAGGATATGCCTGCAGTCGAACGTAAATCCACTCATGAAAGTGCTGCAGAAGTTGCGGAACCTCAAACGGATGTATGTAAATCTTGGTTTTTTTGTTTGTTTGGTGGTGAAAGGTTTAACTTTAAGTTCAGTTCCGTTTTTAAGTTACATTTTCTAATGATCACTGTGGCTTTTTTATGGGTAGTGCACAGCATTGCACCAAACTGCATTTGTATTGAATGTTCAAACTCACAAGCACAGAATTAGCTGTTTTATTGGAAAAAACTAATTGCTCACTAACCAGCTTTCTAACTAGGCTAATTGCTACTTAAAAGAAAGCAGCCTGGATTGTTGAAAGCACAGTGATTTCCTGATTATTATTATAGTATGTGCCTGCATACCAGACACAACAACGTCATGATACACCACCAACAACGCAGATTTCTCCGCCAAGCAATGGAAGCAGTTTGAATGGATACCCAAATTCGACTGAAAGCGGTTGGTAAATGAGTTTTTTGGACTACGGACTTGTAAATCTAGAAAACTTTCAATTTGAAAGAGCTTTTTTTTGGGATATGAGTGGTGGAAAACAATCTGAATTT